CGTGTGTGCAACTCCGCCAGACCAGACAAACCGATGGAATGGGACAGTGACGACCTGTCACGTAGGCTACCAGCGAAACAGTTCCGAAGGCCACTCACTCGATTGAATGCATTTCCGTTGGGTTTGGTGCGCTGATACGTAACCTTCCACGTAACATCTGCGCCGATGCATTTCGGCTACTCGGCCACCTTGAATGCTCTGATAGCAAAGGACACCTTCGCCGATACCTGGCGTACGATCTGATCTTTTACGTCTTAATCCGACAGAACAGTAGCTTAAAACTTCCTTCATCCCGAGAGACTGATTTGACATCACCTCTGATACAGGGCGGTTCCTTTGTGCCTGTCCAGTCATTCCGTTGCGGATGTTTCTTGATAATTAATTGACATGTGACAGATGAAGGACAAGATTCTCGTCACTCAGTGCCTCTGATAGGTCACACTGAGCGGACAGTGCTGCGATCTGTCTTCCCGAAACATGTCTTTCGGAACTGTCGACCTCGTACGTCAAAGAGTAACTTTAATGTTCATGGCCAAATGTTTGTCCAAAAAGCGTTTTCAGAATACTCCGTGTAACTCTGTGCACACCCTGAAATTTGTGGGGTGCCTGCCGTCATGAATTTCGGATTCCGAATGAGCGATCCTGAATTCACTTAAAAACCTTCGTGACTCACCATTATTTCTGACTCATCGAAATTCAGGCTTCTCAAGCAACGTACACACAGAGGAAACACTGCGCGAACAAGATCATTCAATATGGACTGTTCGTTCAGTGTGTACGTGTTCGTTAACAGTCAACCCACTTTGATTTCTGTGTGGATGCGATTCTACCAGCAGCGACAGCAAAAGACTCACAGAGACATCGTACAAGAGAGAACGATTTACGAGGTACATTTCAGGCATATTAAACTTGATTTCGTAATGCCTGTCACAACCCCCCCCCCCCCCGCCCACAGATTTTAACATAAGTACAATGTGTGCCTTATTCCCGTTTTCCATTAAAGGAACTGCATTTATTTGGGTCAATTGAATGACTCGTAGGTCTGCCTCGTAAAAATATTAATGTGCTCCATGATGTTATGTGTAATGTACTTTAATACACTTTTGTAGAATTAAATGTGTATGGGCTAGGTTAATGGCTTTAAAGTTAACTGAACTGGTAACGCTCTGAAATGTATCAGTCCGTAAGTGAACACTAACTTTGGCTTAATGCGTTTTGCTAGTGGGATTAACGCCATGGTAAACCTTACATTTATACTGAAATCACTTCGTCTTCTTAAATTAGGTAGCGTCTCCACGGTTATACCACCACGACTCTTACGAAAGAGCGTGGTTTTGCAAAATGGAGTACGTATACACTGCTTGGCGTTGGAGGCTGGTATCAGAATCCTTAAGAGGATTTCGCCACAGATGTGTACGGAAACACATCACATTAATTAACGTTGCTTAACAAAGAGCTACAGAATTGCTGTATGTTTTGAACTCCGTACCGCGTGACCTTACACGTTTCTAAACATGACATTTACCACACGCGCAAAGTAATACAGTTTAATTTTCGCTACGGTTTACGCTGTACTATCAGCCGACCGTCGGCACACATATATTTGCTCCATTCGCATGATTAATTGGTAACTGAAAACTTTCTGAATAAATGGGACGTAGCGAGTTTGTAATATAAGTTCGTTAAACCAGTATACTGGATCCATTTCGTAAACTGTTAATAATAATTAATGTATCGTATAAAAGTTACGCCACGGTGGTCTAGCGGTTAGAATGCTGGCCTTGTAATCCTGGGGTCTCGGGTTCGATTCCCGGCGGTGGCCGAATTTATAACTTGTGGTGGGCAAGGCCGTGGTCTAGGCAGCCCGGAGTTTTCCTCCGTGGCATCCCACCAATTACTCCATTCACACACAGAAGAAGGCAATGGCAAACCACTTCTGGATCATCTGCCAAGAACGTATATGAACAGGTCCCAGTCCGAGAAAAGGATTGAAGGATCCTGTTCATATGGACCTGTCGTCAGACAGAACACTAAATAATAAAATAAGACTCTATCAGTTAATGCCGCTAATTGCAGAAACGCGGATTTAATGTGAGGTGACAAATTTGGTTTCAGTCCTTTTTACTGTATTACTAAATTTAATCAACCATTTATCTAAGGTGAGATGTCGTACGTACGTATATATTACTAACTTTTCTCCCATTTATAATCAATTCTATACAAGAATCTTCTTATATTTCTTAACTCTGTTACATTAGTACGATTTATAAGCTACGTCTTCCTTAAAATTAAGCCATGTACTTCTATAACGTTGTTTTTGCCCTTCTCAGTTGAAGGACAATTCGATAATATTCATCTACAGCCTTCGCCACAACTAAATTCAGTGAAGTCTTCTAAGGCCATCGCAAAAACCGACGTTTCGATAAACGACTCCTTCTCATCAGATGCCTAGGACTTCCTGGGCTTGGCAGACGTCAGATACATGATGATGAGAATCGAGGCGGTTCTCGAAACGTCAATCTTTTGCGACCACCTCATATGGCTGTCTGGCGGGCAAGAAGATTTAATTGAATTTAATAGTAGCTATACGTATGGAATCCTCTTCCTCTCTATACTGAGGGCGTCTTTTCCCCTCAAAACTTCTCTGGATTGATCGATTTGCTTCCAAATACCAGTCTTCAACTATTCTAATCCAATGCTTATTTTGTTTTTCCCTACCTCGCAATAAAATATTAATTGCCTCTCTTTTGTTGCACCTTCCATGAATTATTTTACAGCTCTATTCTATTTATACTGTCAATGAATTATTATTATTTAGTGTTCTGTCTGACGACAGGTCCATATGAACAGGATCCTTCCATCCTTTTCTCGGACTGGGACCTGTTCATATACGTTCTTGGCAGATGATCCAGAAGTGGTTTGCCATTGCCTTCTTCTGTGTGTGAATGGGATGCCACGGAGAAACCGGGGAAGCCCCCGGAGAAAAACTCCGTGTTGCCTAGACCACGGCCTTGCCCAACACAAGTTATAAATTCGGGCACCGCCTGGAATCGAACCCGAGACCCCAGGATTACAAGGCCAGCGTCCTAACCGCTAGACCACCGTGGCTACGTCAATGAATTAACAGCAGGTAATAAAGGTTATTTTTCTCTGTGCGTAAAGATAGAATTTTTGAAAGATGGCAAATAAATGATAATTTCAAATGATTCTCCTATCTAAAATTTGAGGTTTTCACAGAAGTGAGTATGAAGATTTCTGTCTTCTGGTTCGTTGCGCTGTGTAGTCTGGTCGATGTTTGCCAACGTTTCAGAGGTCATACTGCGTCCGTCATCAGGGCGACAACCCAGAAGACAGAAATATTCGATTTCTCTATCGATTAGTGATTTATTAAACTACCCTGTCGGTAGCTCGGACTCTACACCGTTGATTGATGTGATGTTAAATAAATTGAATAAGATATTGAAGGAACCGTTCGTGGCCTAATTTAATGTACGAATCGAGTATTGTCTGAGGAACTGAGAAAATGTACGAAAAATTTTGATGTGGGACGGCGGTATTCGGGCCCGGATTTGAACTTGGTACGTCTCGGATAAGAAGCAGGATTGCCATCCACTCTTTCTGCCCCAATTTTCGGCATGAATTCCAAATTATTGTAGTCTAAGAATTAATAAAACAGATGGTTATGGGCAGAATTTACACCGAAGCAACTAGTAACAAGCTACGAGAGGTAAATGATTGATATCGCTTATAGAAACACGTTCATTACAATACGAATAGTTCACACCGGAACGATAACTACATGGCTTTTAAAATTGTCTCTCAGTGACAAACAATCATTGTTGAAAGCAACTTTCCTGCTATATCACAAAGCGATACATATCACATGTTGCTATGGTTGGGTTTTGTTTTCATCAGTCTATTGATTGCCTTATTCAATTAACTATTTTGTTTACAGCGCATCGCTACTCACAAACAACAAAATATTGGTTAGTACAAATTACACAACACGCACTATTACATTATCAGTTCATTTACTGACATTTTTCACAAACTAGCAACTTTATTACATTGGTGTGAATGCACAGGCGATGTGATATTGCTTGTCGCCTGTTGCTACTTGCTAGTTGCTTTGCTGTAAATACTACCAACATTATCTTATTAACTTCATGCGTCTTCTGGTTGACGCTTAAGGTCTGTTTGAGTGGCTTTATTAATTTAAATCTCGTCAGTGTTTCTGCAAACATTGCAGTTCTCGACTTAAGTGGCAATATCTTGGCTGGATACACGGAACTATGTAATTATCCCGGTGTTACCTTACTTTTATAAAATTACGAATTTTTACAGCTCCTTTTATGAAAGTTCTTGCAAGAAATATGGGTAATGCATCTTTAGTTTTATGATTTAAAGCACATGTCCGATATAATGACCTCTGCATTTAGTATCGTAGACACGTTCCATGTTGTGTCACATTTTTAAAAAAGTATGGTTTACGTAACAAGAAAATGCAGTCTGACTAACCTTCCAGATTGTATGTAAAGAGTTTGAATTACAAGGTAGTTTAAAAAGAATTATGCGTTATGTAGCAGATATATTTTTAATTCCAGGAAGCTTGTTTTCCACCACTAAACTTTCTTTAGGTTCGGAAATTTATTCAGATTTCCATACTTTTTTATGTAATTTGAACACCGACTGAATGAATGTGCTGATACGCTAATATCTAACCTGATAATAAGTATTATGAATAAAGTTTAATATAAAAGACGTGTTTTAGAAATGTTATCATTGTATAAGGAGTTGAATATAGCCATACATAAAACAAAGAATTGTCACAGTTCAACATGAAAGATCCTCATTTTCTTGAACAATATTCTTCATAACATACGCTCAACAAAAACACGAAGCTAAATGTACAACATAACAAATGTTACGAAACGTTTATAACAAACCAAAGTAATCACAAAATTCTGCTGTTTTTGACGTTCATTTATTTTGTATCATACCTTGGCTATGTCCATTGTTGTGAGTCTTGGAGAACTTGTTTACAGAAAATCCACACACAAACTGATAGGAGAAGTGCGACTGTAGTCACATTTATATACGTTCTAAATCCTGTTTTGTGTCTTTTATCACAACCCCTTTACATACCTCCCACCTCTTTAAAAACAATTCTTCATGTGGCAACTGCAGAAGTAATCTGTAACAGCCTATGAGTGTAACGGCAGGTTGGGAGCACTGCGTCTTGCAAAGAGCTTAGGGGAGGGGGAAGGAGGGGGGGGAGGTGTGTATGTGTGTTGGGACCGCTCTACATTCGCCAACTTCAGTTCATACTGAGACACACAGGTGAAAGAAATATGGTGGCTAGTGAGATAGAAACCGCTTCTCGTCAGTTACTGGACAACAGAGAGAGAAAGAGAAAGAGAGAGAGAGAGAGTGTGTGTGTGTGTGTGTGTGAGATGGTGAGAGGAGAAGAGATGTGAGAGGGGTGGAAATCGATCGGTTTTTTTCTGTTACACCTTCAACTGTTTCACGTAAGAATAAAACGGAGAAATGAATCAAGTTCGTTCGTCCCACTGAAAAGAATGCTATATGAATATTTAATGGAAAGCAAAGCAAGCAGCCGATAAATGCAAGGAAAATTTTAGTTTATAAATCTGAAAGATTGGGAAATAGAAGTGAGTATTAAATAAATAATGTGTGAAGATGGTTCAATGGCAGGCTTATGTGAACAGGACATTCAACGCGTTCCAATGTCTTTGTGGTTGGTTGAGATTATTCATCGTCATATTATTAGTATATTGGTTCCATGAAATGCGAGGCATTTTTAAGCTTCAACGAGCAGTGTACTTTGTGGAATAAAGTAATTATTATTAGTTCACAAACTTGAGTAGTATGTCTGACCTGCATTTGAAAATGTGGTTTATGGATTAAGATTTCGTGTGTTATATTTTATGTAGGATTTCTTATTTTTCCATCATATCAGTTATCAGTTTTATTTAACATATTACTGTCTCGGAAAATTACTTTCTTGGGCGTTTAAAACAAAAGGAATTAAGATTTATAAGCCATTATTTTGCTTGCGTATAACCTTTCGATTTGGTAGTTGTTTTTGATTTGTCAACAAGTGTTATTTCGCCGTGTGGCCTGGTAGACGTTTACGGATGTTTTACTCATCGCCCTGATGATGGAGGCAGCAAGCAACACTGAAACTTCGGTAAACTTCTACCAGACTGCACGGCGCGACATTCCAGAAGACAGACATCTTCATGCTCGCTGCATTGAGGACCTCAAAACTCAAAGTTGATGTAATTTTACATTAATCCTCTCATTAAAAAAATTACGAGGGAAAACGAATTTTTTAACATGTTGATGCAAGAAGAACTTTAACACTGAAAATCGTAGAATTCATGTGGAACTGCTGAAATGTGGAAGTCACAAACTGGAGTCACGTATCTAGCAGGTGTTCAGCGACATACGAGAAGCAGGATATACACAAAAGAAACAAAGTGTAGAGAACAGATTATAGACTGCTTTTATGGATTTACTCGGTGTTCAATATTTACATGGTAACAGTAAGAATAACAACTCAAGCAATTATCTTAAAAAAGGAGCAACGTTTTTTTCTGTAAATTTAGTCCGTGCATGGCTCAAAAACTTTACGACAAACAGATTTATTTATTTCTAACTCTCTATAACAACGCTTCAATGTCTCAGACTAGCATCGAATGAGAGGACGATGACGATATAGTGAGTAATGAACTGGAAAGGGTTTGGAAGGAAGCGGTCGTGGCCTAATTTTGGCTGTTATACCAGTATTTGCCTGAAGGAACTGACACAAACCCCCTAGAACCTCAGGAGAGTCGATCTCCGGGTCGATTTTATCCAGGAATTTCACGAATACGAAGCAGGAGTGATGGCCACTCGAACATAACGTTTAGTTGTAACCGAATGAACAAAGTGTAATGTGTCACTCTTTTTTCTGTGTTGGAAACTGACGGAATGAATCAAAATACA